ACAGATGGTATCGGTTTGATGTTGCTAACAGCCAGTTCTGCAGAGCCAGGTATCGGGTATTGGTATCGGGGCTAAAAAATGGCATCGGCGCAACACTACTTCAGACCCAACTCACCCGACTCCTTGGATCTGTAGCTGCGGCTGGGTACCAAAATCTTTGGTTTTCACTGTCTGGTAGGTGACGATGGTGGCCGTGGTGCTGCCTGAGCCCATATCGTAAAACATGATGTTCTGGAAGGTAAGGGTCCAGATGTTTAGAGCTGTACAGGACCAGATCAGGGAGAGGAAGAGTAAACGGACACTGCTGGGTCACCTTGGGCGTGCCATCGATGTCCTTCCTCCTGAAGACGCCATAATTTAGGGCCACCGCCGTGTTGTCGTTGATGAGCTGGAGGACCTTTAGGCCGGCCATCTGTGCAGCGTGCAGGACTGCCCTCCGCTCTGCCTGGTTGAAGAAGGCTGGGACGGTGATGACTGCGTCTTTGATTGGCTGTTCTGGGAATTTCACAGAAGGACAAGAGGAAAAACTTCTACCTCTGGACGCTCCGATTGGCTTCACAAAAATGATAAGAGATGTCGGGTAAACTGACCTGCAAAGTCCTGAGCCAGCCCGCGGGAATAATTCAGCACCATGGCCAGCAGCTCCTCCGGCGAATAACGCATCTCTCTGCCAGAGAGAGAGAAGAAGTTACAAAACCTGAACCAGCTGTCACCGTGACAACCATAGCAGCCCCCTGGTTGTGTTCAATAAGGGAATCACATGTTTTTCCAGCAGGGGGCGGTAGAGTCAGAACCCGAGGCAAAGAAAAGTACTCGTTATTCATGATTATAGGTTAATATCTGCAGAAATCTGCCAGGAAATCAGCCGCTATGTTTCAAACTTGCACCCAGACTAAAGTTCTGATCAGGTCCCGTCTCGGTCAATTCCACTGAGCCCAGACCAGGTTGTCATAGCAACATCCACATCCAGCCTGCTGCATGACCAGCTGTTAAGTTGCGTTCACACCAAACGCAGCAGGAGCAGCTAAAACACGTCTGTTGTTCATTTTAGCTGCTTGTACAGTTTAGTTCTGACGCGCGGCTGAAGCAGCTTTGCTGCTCTGGCTGCGGTGGGCGGAGCTTCACTATCCTTTCTCTGCCTTGCAGCTGTATTTTCTGTGATCAGTGGGAATAAAGTAGTTTTAATATGTTTTTAAGTGGGAAAATCCACCTGAAAACGTAATCAGTGCAGTCAGTTCATCCAGATTACCATCCTGCCTTCCAATATTATTTCTGTGGGAGCCGCTCAGACCCCCACATACCAGCGGTGCGCTGTCAGTAGGAATCCCAGTCAACAGCAGCCTCTGGCCGGGTCGCCTCTACGTTGTTTGCCACGGCAGCTGGAAACGGTTTCCATGTACATAATCCAAACTGCAGGCAGCAGGATAATAAAAGCCAACATATTCTGCCGGCAGGTTTCTACGTTTTCAGTTAATTTAGGCGTTAATAAACTGTTTCAGAGGAGTGATCATAGCGCTCTGTATCAGCAGTGCTGCGTCTGACTCCCTGGCAGCTCCCAGAGCAGCTTCTCTGATTGGTTGATGCGGCGCCTCCTCCAGCAGCTAAAGTTAAATCTTTCCATCTCGAGCAGCAGCTGCGTTTGCGGCGCGCGTCAGATGCTTAAACGCTCCCGATGACCTGCTTCAGCTGCTCAGCCGCGCTGCAGGACATTTTGCTGCGCCTTGGCGAGTCAACTAGCTGCTCCTGCTGCGTTTGGTGTGAACGCAGCTTTAAAGCTTACAGGGTTCCTACAGCATAAGGCAGGTTAAAATAAAGACTTTTTAAGACTTTTTAATGCCACTAGAAATAAAAATTTAAGACCAAATTCACAAGCAAAACCTGCTTGTGACAACTTAACCCAAAGGTTTATTTTAACATAAACCACTGCACTAATGTTTCAAATGTTGAAAAGCTTCCCATACAGGAAGAAAGCTAAAAACACACAAATTATGGATATATTTTAACAATTATTTAACTGAATTCACAGTTGTAGAAGGTAAAACAAATCAGTTTTAAAGCCCCAACATAACCAGTGCTAAGTCTTTTTGCAGCTATTTTTCTTTCTATGGTTTTCTTAGCATGTTTGATTTGGTGATAAGTGGAGGTGATAAAATCCACTGAGCCTCATGTCTGTTCCCTGGTTTTAACCATGGAGGAAACTCTTGGCTGGAGCATATTTGGTTACATTTAGACCTCCTCATATTTTCCAGACAAAAAGTTAATGGCGCATCTCCCAAATGTCCCGGCCACAACAAGGCTTTTATTGGTTCTGCTATCGGGACGGAACCAATAATGGAGAGCCATTTTTTTTTTTTTATAAAAAAAATTGTCAATTTTAAAGTTCTATTTAGATTACAAAAATAAATCGTTATAAAAATAATCCTATTTATGATGTTTCAAAAATTAAGACCTACGAACGACTGATTTAAGACATTTTAATACCAATTAAGGCCTTAGTTTTATTTTGAAGAATTCAATGCCTTTTAAGACTTTTCAAGGACCCGGGGGAACCCTGGTTTAGATGAACCATGAGGAGAGAGCTGAGGCCCGATTCACCTTCAGACGGGTCAGAACCAGGACCAGCAGTCACAGCTTCCTGTCGACTATTCGGCTCCTTCTATGGACGGTAGGCTGACAGGAAAAGGGGGAATGAGAGGGGGGGCACGTGGCGAACCCGGGTCGCCCGCGTCTAAACTGAAGCCTAGCTAGCTAAAGCTAGCTTCTCCTTAAAGGACAAACATGTCAATGGAACCCTGGAGGAGCCTTTTCTCCTCTCTCCTGATTGCGCTGCGTCTCAGAGATGGAGGAGGACTCACTGAGAGCTGTTGAAGTAAACCGTTCCCCTCACTGGGTCGGCCTGCAGCTGATGCTCAGGAAAGCGCTTCTCATAGACCTTCACCTGGACGTTGTCCCGTTTTTTACCCAGAAGGCTTTGGAGATGTCTATAGACCGTCTTGGGAATCTTCACAGACTGAAAGAGAAGGTGAGCTGAATGAAGGGTGGAATCAGCGATGCTCCAGGATGATGAATCAGACTCGGATCATCTTACCACTCCTAAAGCGCTGTCTCCAAACAGTCGCTCGTTGTCCTTCAGACACACCACTGCTGGCGTTTTCCTTCTCGACTCCCTGCAAACACAGCCAGAGCATTTCAGCTGATCTGGAATCAGTTTGAACCTGCAGAAGCTGCTCTCCTCTGACCGCCATGAAGACGCTTCCTGCTCACCTGTTGAGAACGATCTCCATCGGTACTCCAGGTTTCACTATGGCCATTTTCATCCACTCGCTCCCAAGGTCCACCGACATGACGGCCACAGACTCTACAGACACAGAGAGCACGGTTACTGAGGGCTGGGGGGGCTGAGGGCCCCGCTGACCCCAGATCAGCCTGGTAGGGGTCCCACCAGGAGCCCCTTCTGTGAAAGGATCATTACCTGTAGAGGAGGGGAGAAGGACGACAAGGAGGGAGGACAGAGCGACCAGGGTCCCGATCCTTACTGCCATGATGAGCTGCAACCACACAAAAACATTTCAGACCAATCAGAAAGAGGAAATGATGTCATCAGCTAGCCTGATAAACACACTAAATGTGTAATCTAGTCTGGCCCCGATGAATGAGACATCTGAAAATCGATGAGATCAATCTGTTTTTTTTAAACCATGTCTGTTCCTATTGGCCAACGCTCTGACCAATGAGAGCCACTGACTGACGTAGGAAGCGCCACAGGAAGCTGGTGGGGGAGTGGAAACAAACAGCCTGTCGGTAAGACGGCGAATACGTCCTTCTTAAAACTAATGATGGTAGAGCCTCTTCCTGCTCACGGTTCAATGGAAACCCAAAGTCTGATCCTTCCAGAACCGATTCCAAATCTGAGTCAAACCAGAACTGTTCTATAGTCGCTTCCATCTTCCTTGTTGTGCTTTTTTCAACGTCGCACACCTTTGTCGTCACGCCCTCTAAACCCCGCCCACTTTGCATCCAGACATTCTAAACATCTCTGCGTTGTGATTGGCCCGCCAGTTCTAGGGCCTGGGGCATTGGTCGAGGCTAGACCACTGCAGGGGAAAATTATTTTGGCTGCTGGTGGGAGGGGCTAGTTTACTAGGCTAATAATCAGCTGTCAGTCAAACAGGAAAACCAGCTGCTGCTGTTAAAGTGATTCAATCAATAAAGTTGGAGTCAAAGTTTAGCCTCATTCTAGCATAACAGCAACTTTGGCTCCGCAGGTTCAGAGTGAAGAACGCCGACATGTTTCATTTACTGCTGTTAGCTAACTAGCTGTTAGCTAGTGGCAGTTAACGGGTCCATCCACATGGGGGGCACTGGGGGTTCATTCAGCTGGGTGTCTATCCAGGTGGTGATTACTGGAGGTCCATCCAGGTGGGGGTTCATCCAGGTGGGGTCCATCTAGGTGGGGGTCTATCCAGGTAGGCATTATTTGGGGGTTCATCCAGGTGGGGGTCTATCCAGGTAGGCATTATTGGGGGTTCATCCAG